TTACCATGTAACATGTGTGAACATTTGAAGTACATCTGTTATGTGGTTTTTGTGGAATCGCGATGACAATATTTATTTGAAAAAAATTCCAAGATGGCCACCAGAATGCAAGATGGCCGCCGCAAAGTTAATCAGCTCTAGCACTTCTTACCATGTAACATGTATGAAAATTTGAAGTAAATCCGTCTGATGGTTTACCTGGAATCGTGATGACAAGAAAGTGAGACTTCAGAATGCCACCTTGTCTAACCCCGTTTTGGTGCCTTTTGCCCCTGTTTACATCAATAGAAGAGGTGTTTTGTTTAAGAGGGAAGTCTGTTCTTTCAAACGGTACAATCATTTTATGTGGGAAAGTACCGGACAACAAAACTTTTTTTCAGAGGGTCCAGATTAGGGACTATGTGCACATGCAAGGTGTTACAACTAACTTAGATATCGAAGACCCAACTCGCCCTGAATGGATCGCATTCAATCGAATATTCTTGCCCGATTGTCTACTGTCATTAACTGCGAAAACAAAATTAAAAAATAAAACATTTTATAGTTTACCACAACGGCCATTGCTAGATATAAAAGAAATGTAATGGCTAATTTCCTCGTCTTCTCGGGATGACTTATTTGGTGAATAGTTTCATTTAACTTCGTCTCATCTTTGATTGGTGCATTTTCTTCATTTGCCAGGATGTCATCATTGATATGCTCGTCAATGTCATCATTCGTCAGCGTAGCAAACGTACCATTAGCACGAGAGTTTTCATTGTCTCGGGGTTTGCTCCCGAGGAGTATCTCCTCACTCTTATCATGAGATACTTTCGATGTATCATCGGTGTGCAACATTTCATTCAAGCGAATAGAACCGTCTTTTTGTGAAGTTTGTCTCCAAGTTGCAGAGCTTTCGACTGAGTTATCTACACTTTGGTATTTTATTCCTTCCATGGCCACCAATATATGATGCTTCTCTTGTGAGTGCATCCAAACAATGCGTGATTTTATTTCTCAAGTTGCTTTAATATATGTTTGCTTCAAGGGGGCGGATCAGGCGATTTTTGGTATGATTATAAATGAGGGGCCAATCCATTACATAGGACCATATTACAGCCTATTCTATTTTCTACATATACACCCCAAATATTGTTTCCCTTGTATTTTAGTATAATACGTACACGAACTTCGTACACGAACTACATGACGTCATACCCATTTATTTTTTCAAATGATAGCCCCACACCGAATTTAATTGACTGGTCTAAGTCAGAAGGCAGATATTTAAGCCTTCACCTATTTATTACGCAACGTATTGTTTGCTTGGTGAAATCGAGAAGGGATAAACAATTTAAGTCCACTGATAATCACGTAAGTCTGCACGAATTTGAAGTGTAAGACAAACAAATGTAGCAACTTTGACCAAAGTATTTATTTCAGGCGAGTCCATTCAAAAAGGGCTGTACGTTTTTAAGAAATAAGTCTTGCCAAATTTATTCTCTCAAATTATCACATCTTTTAAAGAAAGGTCTAACATTTTGTTGATTCCATACATAATGATCTCAGTCTTGAATTTTGAAGAAATTAGACTTACACAAATATGATTGAACAATATTATTCACGGAAATTGTTGGCATGTTACCTTCGCAAACGGTTAGATGGGGGGAGGGAGTTTTCTTCTGTGACCCGGAATCTGAGAAGTCCTTCTTATAAATATCCTATAAAAATCAAAAGAAAATCCAATATTGAATGTTTTGAGCCTCATTTTATTAGAATTAGTCCATAATTAATGAAGATATTGACATTTTAAGACCACATAGGGGTATGTTGCGATTTCGCTGGAGAATATTTTCGTCTATGGAAACTTATAACATTTCTTTGGATCACAATTACTTTGCAAATAACAGAGGTGGGATGTAAGTTTTTACAGCATAATATGCGGTATCCCAAAACAAACAAAGTTAGAAAATATGAGCTCTTTAAGAATGTGGTTAAAATTTGTCAGTGGAAGAATGTTTAAGGGTTGAAGAATCAGTAAGAATCGCAGATATTTGAGTTCACATTTTATCCATTTTCAGTAGTATTTGGTTAGGTCTTATAATTTCTGCAAATTTCAAGATGTATGGTACCACTGAAAACCTTAGAAATTCGTCTTCAACATGTGAAAATATGAAAGATTCCTGTTGGTAATAAGATCATTTCATCATTTGATCATTTCCTCCCCTGTCGTCTAAGAGTGGCGAAGATTTTTATAATAATAATTGAATATGTTTCTTTAAACAGCACAATTAAGATATGTTGAAGATTTAATAAGTATTTACATTTTGGCTTTAATTTAAAAAAACATAAGTGTATGTTGTCAACTCGAATGTACGTTGTCCCATTGAACTTAAGTTAACCCTAATGCAAACGGTAACCGGACAACTCATCCCCTAGACGACTCATCCCTGGACAACTCATCCCCTAGACAACTCATCCCCTGGACAACTCATCTCCTAGATAACTCATCCCCTAGACAACTCATCCCCTGGACAACTCATCCCCTGGACGACTCATCATCTGCCATGTTTGAGTAATTTTATGTTACATTATCAATTCATATATTATTCAAATGATATTTAGATGTTTTGGTTATCATGATCAGTTTTAAGTTTCAAAAACATATATTACATTGTATAACATGAACACTGGTACTTAATTCGATTACATTGTAAACGGATCGTTTCAGTAACAAAATTTCAGAGCCTCTAAGGTGCAATTTTTCTTTTTCCTTATTTCACCAGTTGTAGACAGAATTCCAACAACATTTTTATCACAAACGTGTGTCAGTATCTGTCTAAGAAAATGTACATGTTTGCAAACAAATAGTTCAGAAGACAACACGATCATCGCTTTAATACCTCACTTTTGTTACGCAAAGGGAACTTCACTGACACATGTTTGTGATAAAAATGTAATGTAAATAATCAACCAATTAATCTGTAATTTGTTATGTAAATATTTACCTTTAATTTTACTTTTAATACACAATTTCAATATTATATTAACATTGATTGGAGAAGCTCCTTTGATGTCATAATATGTTTGTTGTTCAGAGTTCAAATATTCTTGATCCAAAGATTATTTTCTTCACAGTATTTATAGATGAAGTTACTGAAGTTCATGTTTCAAAATCATACAAAGAGAAAACTTTATTTTTTTGTCATGAAATATTTAGTCATGTCATATAAGGACAAGAGATGAAAGTTTTAATGGCACCTTTTGATGGTTTGACAGTTTTATTTGTATCAATACAGTAAAAAAATGATATTTAGAATGATCCAAGGTGTATTTATTAAATATTTCTTTTCCAAAAACACTTTACAATTTCGCCTGGTGTGATAAAGGATGGATGAGTTGTCCAGGGGATGAGTTGTCTAGGGGATGAGATGTCCAGGGGATGAGTTGTCCAGGGGATGAGATGTCCAGGGGATGAGTTGTCTAGGGGATGAGTTGTCCAGGGATGAGTTGTCTAGGGGATGAGTTGTCCGTAAGTCAATGCAAACAACGTATTTTTCATAACACTAACAGACAGGGGGTCAGATGCATTTAAAATTGAAACAGAACAATTACAGAATTACTTCAATTTGATGGAAGTATTGAAACTTTCTAGATATATCATGAACGGGATTTTAAAAAGTCATATTCAATAAGCTAGTAGATCTATCTATCAATGTAACTAACAAAACGTAAGGTACAAACGCCAAATAATCAAACAGGCTGGAGGCAGACTCCGTGGCAGTGCTAGTCTCCAATATATTATATTCCGAGACACCGGATGGGAGTTTGGGCTAGAAGCTAACACCAATGGGCTCAAATTAACCGCCACCACAACAATACTTTCATAAAATGAAAAAGCAAAAAGGATACTTGAACATGTTCGTTAAAGATCACTTGTTACTCATAAAACCTTAGTGAATTTTGAAATGAAATCATTACATTGTTTACTATTACGTACATCTCATGAATTTCAATTACAGGGACAACGTACATTCGAGTTGACAACGCACATTTCTGATTTTTTTAAATTACAATAAATACTTTATTAATGTCCACCCGTCCTAAATTGTGTAGTATAGAGAAACATATTCTCATAAAAATAATCGACACTCTTAGGCAACAGGGGAAAAAATGCTTCAAATCGGTGAAATAGTGACATCGTACATCTTAAGTGCACTACTATATTTTGTCACTGTACCTTGTCGATGGTTAGGCGTGATTCGATGCTTATAAATTGACGCGTGCGCAAAGAGGGGTTAACCACAATTCTTTGTTCAAAATCATCATATTTCTTTTATTTACCCCGCATTCTAAAGAAGTAGATGGAAGCCTGTCAATTTATAACAATGGAATGTTTCCCCATGTAATGGGAACGTGATGAGTTTATTGCCATTAAACTTTACAAAACGTACCTATACTACTAAATAGAACTAGACCTACACGCTTTTCAAATAAAACCTCACGCGTTTCCGCCCCTGCTATTATGGGGGTTAAGTTTTCAAGAGAACCTGTTCGTGAGCTTGTAATATTTCGACCCCGGGGATTACTATCCCCGCTCTCAATTCACTTTTCCAGGGATCTAATTACAATAACTTTTCATACACCTTCAAACTCGATCGGACAAGTGAGCACTACAAATGGGAGAACTCATCCACATTTAACAATAATTCTAAGTTTTTTTCAAAAACGTGTCGCTTTACCTCCCTAATGTGGGGAATAAAAATGAATGTTGAAGAGATGATGCTAGGGGCCAAGGCATCTTACCTGAAATGGTTACACTAGCGTTCTGTAGATTCTGTTGGTCCAATGAGTTTTAAATGGGTACTCAATGAAAAAAAATCACTCAAAAAGTATTTCTTTCTTATAAGGCAGAAAAATAAATGGTTACCATGGAAACGAGCGTATACATATATAACATTTTGTCCAAAATGATGACTAAGATAGAAGTAGTTTTATTGTATCACATTGGAATATTTATTTTATAAGATGGTATTCTCTTGTGTGTCTAAGTCCCTGCTCTCTTCTTTATAATTTCTTCTGTTTTGTCTTACCAAGAAGTAAGTTAAAAAAGCAAAAAGCAACAATAGGATTTGTGCTGTTAGTAGGACATATGCAAAGCACATGAAATGCACTTTGTCCATGAGGAAACCTGTGAAAAGTGGAACTGTAGTGGCACTGAGGGAGGCACCCACGACGGTGACACCAGTTACCACCCCAGTGACAGGCATTACATATTTTTGATACAAGAGTAATACAGATGCATAGAGAGTCCCCATACCCAGCCCTGCCAACAGCAAAGTCAGCCACAACACGATGTAATGGGTTTGAACAAAAACAACCAGCACGGTATAAGAACATGTCAAAACTGTTAGGTCAATCACGATCATCTGATTGGCGCTCAGAATTTTGGATGCAAAAACACCCACACAAAGTAATCTGGATAAAGTGAAAGCTCCCCAGTATGCCGATGTAATGGCTGCTCCGTGTGACTTCGGCCATTTTAAGCCCTCCACCGAAAACGTCATAACTAACCCACCTCCCGTCATTTGGAATGCAGCGTACAGAAAGAACATGATAAATAATGTAATCAATAGTTGGACTTTAAAACACTTGGTCGAGGAAGGATAAAGAGTATCTTTTGAAGCTATAAGAGAGTTGTTCTTTTTAATTTGCTGTCCATTATTCTCAGAGCTGCTGTCAACAAGGTCGTTGCTATGCAGACAACTTCCAGGTGTCCTTTTTGCAAGCATATATAATAAGAAAAAGAAAACTCCAATGACAATGCTAAAGAAACCGACAATTAAGTAGACAAATTCAATGTGAGATTCTGTCATTTCTGAAAGCATGATTCCCGGTTCCTCTATAGCTGACATATTCCCTATTCTTTCAAGTACATTTACCAAAGAAGTTTGTTCTTTATATTTATAATTTATATCCTTAACTTGTCCAGATACAAACTGTGTCCTGTTTGATTCGTTATTGAGAATATCCGATGCGTTGATCCTTCTGTTGAAGTCTGTAATTTCATTTGATATGAAAGGCCCAGACACTAATGGCGTGATGAATGAACCGACGCCATATGAGAAGTACAAGAATTGCAGATACGCCCCGGCATCGACTCCCCAAGTAAGAATCAAGAGAGCGCTTCCAACTGAAAAAATAACAAATTACAAATAGAATACAATAAGATGAAAAATTTTCAAATAAATATAGAGATGCAACTGTGGAAAAGGGCTTGATAAAAGGATGTGCAATGCGTTGAAGCTTTGCAAGGAGGATACGGTGTAATTATTTTTCATGTTTTACTGTGAAGAAGATTCTTAAAAAGCAAAGTAGTGGTATCGATATGGAGAACTTTTTGAACACACGTTTCTCTGAAACCAGTCATACTTTTTTAAAATCAACCGAAAATTCCTTTGTATAACTATAATATTGAGAGCTCTAAAAACATGTTGTATATGCTATTTTGTTCCAGCAAGGTTCGGAAAGACATTTTATTTATTCTCAAGAATTGGTAGAAAGGAGCAAAAACAATTGCACTAAAAAAACAAAAAATGTTAACAAAAACAGTTCTATAAAATATTTATAAATAACTTTCGCATTAAATTGTTGTCAATCAGTCAACATTACATAAAATACCGTGTTTTTTACAGAATGTTTTCAATGATTGGTTTAAAAGAAAAACATTGTTGAATTCAGTTCTCCATATCGATACCACTCCTTTACCACACAACTTTCTAGCATGCTATACTAGTACTTAGATTAAAAAAGGAAAACATATATACGCTTATTAATATTATGACTTACTGGTATCGATCACCCCACACGTGATGCCATTAAAGCTGAAGAACATGAGCACAAGCCAAAGATGACTAAACCAAGGTATGGCAATGGTAAATCCTGCACCTATGATCAAAAACGCAGCAAGTAGAAGTGTTTCGTTAAGCCTGCTAGCCAAGTATACCGCCACTAAGCCACCTAGAGTGTACCCTCCTGAGTGAAATGTAAACACCAGCGACATCTGTGCTGTACCGACCCCAAGCTGGTCCTTTAGGTCGAGGAAGGTCGGTCCGATTAGTGTTGAGATCATCCCCTAAAACAATAATATTCTATGTATATCAACAATAGATGGAAACGGAAACGTTTCACCCCAGCTAAATACTTTAACCGCCAGATAAATTTGAAAAGAATGATTTGTGATAAACGCATATGAAATAACATTCAAAATACGCTTCAAACGACAGGTATGATGAAATTAAAAAGTAATTCAAGACTGCAAACCGAGCTATGGAGTACCCTATGGTCATAGTTCACTCCATGTTTCAGTGTTATCATTTCGCTTCGCATATATGTACCTTAATCAAGTGTCATAATTGTTACGCGGAATATGGCATACATTCATGGTTACACGGTATTTGTGATACGGGTGATTATACCACTCTAAGTCCAATTACAGTTGTATAACATGGGTCTATAACAACGATATACAGGGTGTTCCAAAAGTAACAGGACTGGTGCTGTCATTTTGTCAAATCTGCACTGAGTTTTTTCACATTTTCAGAAATTTTACTTTGAAGTATTGACGTGTCGCTAAAAGGTGGCGCATTTGTTTTTTAAGGGTATCGCGTGAATGTAACTTTGATTCCCCGGATTATAAGATAATATTCTAATTAAAGTTATATATCATTTTAAAGCTGTTTCGATGAAGATTTTAGATCAACTACACTCCGTTCACATTTTTTGCGCGTTCGTTTTTAAAAAGAGTTTTTTTACCAAAACATCTGGCAAATATTCCATGTTGACACGTTACATTTTGAATTATTTTTCGTCTTTAAACGCTCATAACTCAAACAATATATGACTATTATACTTAATTTTCGTCTTGATAAAGGTAGATGGAAGTTTTATTTCAAAGGATGAATTTTAGTAAGCGTCCCATATTGTGACGTCATAGAGTCTGAAAAATAGAATCTGTTGACAGCGACCTTTTTTGCTCATTTTTTGGTACCTTCAACTTTTCAGGTGTACATTAAACAAAAAATACGAGATCAATTTTTAATAAATCATACATGATTATTTTGCTCCTAAACTCTAGTTTATTAATAAATAGTTGATTTTGTTCACAAAAGTATGTGTTTTCTGTTGTATGTGGAAAAGTGGAGGACGAAAGGTTTTCAAAATTCATTAAAATAGGGCTAATTTACGCCATTCGCCTATTTTCAAGCACAGCAACACGTATATTTATTTCACCTAAAATATCAATTGATTCGTGTTTTATGATGCTCCTAGCCCATTAACAATATATAAATGATATCAGAGTTATTCGTCTAAAATGTTTTGAGATATAGAGGTAAATGTGGAGGACGAAAGGATTTTCATGTGTGTACATTTTTCTCAAAAACGTCACATTCTATCATGTTAAAAGCGAGGATCCTCTGGATTGCGCCACAAAATGTGTAACAATGCGTGCGCGAGCTTTTTGCGACACGTCATTGCAAGTAAGATTCGAGAGTTTCAGAAAAAAAGATAAAATGCAGATAGAGTTATGGTTACTATAGTAATATGACATCACAATACCCGGGGCAACTTTTTCATGAAAATGTGATATCTAACATTGTATTACTGAAGAAAGTATCTAATTCAGCTATTACAATACAACATTTCTTTTTTGTTTTATTAGTTGCTTTGCTCAGATTCAAGTATGATTTCATAATAATAATATTTATTCAATTTCCTTGAATAATTTATGCAATTTCCTTGAATCTATGTATAACAGTCTGCGCTACGCTCACTTGTGAATATATCATATACTCACTCGAGTATAAACACGATATACAGAAAGAACCATTATATAACCTCATAATATGCCATACTCACCTGCGGTATATGGCATATTCGGCAGGTGAGTATACTCAGGCGATACTATATATATATTATAAGTAAAACCTGTCTAATCCTAACACCATTGGGACCGGCTAAAAGCGTTTGGATTAGTTGTTCACATTTCGAGGTTTTTGCATTCGTGAGATTCCGGATTTTGAAGAGATGTGAACACATTCTCCATAATTTTTATAGTATATGACCATGTATCTGTATGACATGCGAAAATGTTGAAATTCTGATTCAAATGAATTCATTGGTCATACTAGAAAGACACTTTTTTAATTAGGCCATTTAATGTTTTTTCAAAGGTTTTGATATTTTGTCATATATTTATTTATAAAATGTAAAATTTGGAAAACGTTTGTTGCCCATATCTATATAAAAGAACTCATTATACTTGTATTTGTATTATGTAAAACTAAAAACCAGATAATGGTAATCCAACAAAAACCAATTCAGGAAGAGAATGTGCTGAATATGATGGCAAAATTTATGCTACTAACATCTTACCACTCCTGCAAAGGCCAAATAGAGTAGAATTGTGATGATCCACCTTCCTGTTCTTTTTCCACCACCTTTCTGGTCTATAGATTCATCTCCCAAAGTCTGAAGATCATCATCATAACCTGTGAGAGTAACATGTGCGATGTTTCCATTCGTCTCGACTGGATCATCATTAGCAATGTTATCATCGTTAGCCGCCTTGTACTTGGTAACTAATCCATTAATATGGGCGCTATCATTAACATAGTCATTAGTCTTAGACATTCCTCCGTTCTGTTGATTACCATCGTCGTATGATACTTTTGATGCATCGTTAATATACAATGCCGCATTCACATTTAAAGTTGCAGACTTATCTTTATTTGAAGCTGATATCCGATTTTCATCATTGTCAACCGACTCCACACCATGGTATTTTATTCCTTTCATTGTTTATATCCTGAAAATAATAAAACGAAATATGGAAACTCATTAATTTCTAAAATGAAAGATATTCACTATAGAACTCTGACTATCATGCCCTCATCCTAAAACAACATGACCGAAACGAATGATCTAAAACGGCATAATTTAAAGCCTGTACTTTTATGTTCTGAACCCTTACAATGATGGCCCAACTTCTAAAACATGATTTGAACCTTAACTATTGTGCCACGAATACTAAAACAATATGAACTGAACCCTGACTGTATCAGTAGCTGGCACACTTTTGCCGGAAGGTTGCAAGAAATAACTTTTGGCAATACAGGGTGTAATTATAGGTGTAAGAAAATATAAGGTGATGGGCTTTAAAGTGGTAAAAACAATTTTCACGACCAAATTAGACAAGTCAATTCATACGATTTCAGGGGGTACTAGATTATTTAGGTAGTAGATTATTTCATAACATAAAGGATATATTTGCTATTGGTCTACTTTCTACAGCACACATTACTAGTCCAAAGATGAATAATATATATCCTAAAGTTATAGGCCGATATCTGTATAAGTCTCAGAAATTATATTGCAATTAATAGGAAAAATCGGCAGTTGATACTTGACCAATGGCCTCAAGGAAATGTCAGCCTAGGATTTTCGTCTCTAAAACTAGGATTTCGTGAAACCCCAAAAGACGGGATTCCGTATCATTGTACCGCCAAGTGTATATGAGACTAGTTTCAGGTCACATCAAATAATCATTGAACCATGGACACCCAAAAATATGTAAAATACAGTCGGAATGGTGAAATTGTGACAAAATGTACGTATTCAAAACAATTTTTTAAGTAAATTGTATTTTAGTAAGAAATGTAGAACTTACTTAAACAACTAAGTACTATTCATAAAGTAAATTTAGCATCTTAATTGATAGTCACTGTAATGCTTAAGACCATATATGGTATGCCCTATACGGAATGTTATTACTGAGAACAAAATATTGATTTTAAACATTATGGATCTTTATTTCTATCTGGAAGTACAATCGAACGTATCTCTTTCTATTCCTGTATGTCACTTTCCAGAACTTTCCAAGAACAATTAATCTATCCTATACTTTCTCACATGTTATTCTCTATTTAGTTTTCAAAAATTGTGGGAGTTTAACTCTATGATAGCTGAATACCAAAACCATGCACCCTATTTGCCAACCGTCGCTTTAAAGTGATATATAGTTGTTTTATATATACAGTACCTTTCACTTGATACTGCAAATTTTGCCAAGCTTAAATAATTTAGGAGAATTCGCATTTATTTATCAATTCGGATGCCTTGGAATTATAGTCAATACTTGGTTCTTGGTTCTTGTACACAACACCTACTTATTTATAGCTGGTGGTACAATGACCAGGCTACTTTAATGTCTTTGGTCTCACTACTTTGTGGTTTGGAAAAAGAAAATCCAGAAAGTTGCAGTTAAAGATGAAAAACTGGTAAAAATCATACTCGGTACACCTTTTCCTATTTTCAGATCTGTAACTCCACTTACGTGTACTATGACCTTATGTCTACTTATATGTATTATTGGTGGTACTGACTGGAGGCACAATAAGAAATTATGTCAAATAGACGTAACATTCAAGAGATAAATTGTTTTGAATAGTGCATTTTTCATATTTTTGCGATATCTGACTGATTTTTTGTCCTTTTTTGGTCTTTTTAAGAGTCCATACAGAAGTGAATACTCGATCTAGAGATCTGAAACTTGCAATATCAGAATTTGGTAGCATTGTGTCTTGATATCTTGTGTCTGGGGTCTAACCAAGTCACAATTCTTGAGAAAAAAATCATAAAGTAGCTTTATTTCAAAACTGCACTCGCGACAGCTTTGTATTAATGCAGTGTTTTAATGAAGAAGGACATTATTTTGAGTATCTTCATTGAACTTTATATCAAATTGCATTTTAGAAATATTTGTAACTGGTAACTATAATTATAAAAATATAGAATAATAACATAAGTTGAACAAAGATTTGAATGGCTTGTTTGACATGTTTGATGGTATTTGTTTTGACAGAATGGAAAAACGAAACAAAGTAATGATTATAACGTCATACCTATTTTCAAAAGCTTCTTATGAAAAAACTAATCCGTTGACCTACCTTTTTTATTACAGTTTTTGAATCGCTACATCTAGGTCTATAATAAAAACCTAGTTTCGTTGAGATTGAAAATGGTCGATTTTTTCGGAGGTTACACTGGTATATCCTTAAGAAAAAGAAACAGCATTTTTATCAGAACATCTGGATCGGCCAGCTTTGTACTACAAACTTACTTGTTTTAATATGATAGCAATCTTCGACCTTTGTGATTATATATATATCCACAAAATTTAGGATACATTCAAGTTCTAGTGTAAAAATACTAGTAACTATAACTGTCAGAAATAATAACAATTTTGAATTGATGTAACGTACGCTTCAGCTGTGTGGTGATTTTATCTCCTGCTTCTAACATGAGCCTGTTATACACTTTTTATAGTTTCCGTACGCCTATGGTTGCATCTAATAAACATATACATGTACATTCGTTACAACAGAATAAACGTTCAGTCTCCATCTGCTTTTGCTATGAATAATACAGAAATCTGATATCGATGAATTATCTGGAGCTCTTCAATAACATAACAATGCCACTATGAATGCTCAATATCTATACAAAAAATCCGATAAAACCTACAAACATGCGAAAGAACGGCCAATACTAAATCTATTACCCAGAATGCCAGATGAGGCAAATACTGCTCATAACGACAATTTAAGATATACCTACGATTGCATTATGGGATTGCTTCGGTACTCCTTTGAAACTGCAACAAAAAATGATTAATCAAATAATATGCGCGATTTATGCGCATTCAAAGAATGTATATTAAAAAGCACAGCCTTCTATATTGGTTGAACAACATTAAACATTTCACAACTACTACAGTACATGAATGAAATTATATTTATGAGTGTAGCTAGTCAAGAGGCATAAATTGTCATGTCGACATGTTTTGCATTTATATCTAATGATATACTATTATATTCCCTTTCAGAATCAAGGAAAATATAGAAAGAAAATAAAAATCACTAGTGGCCTTACTTCTTGCGAAAGCTATGTGGATTTATAACTTTCAAAATCTAACATGGCTCTCGAAGTGAGTAAAGGTGGCCAACTTTTTTATAAGAAAAGCACATTTTTGTTTTCGTTTAATATCAAGCTCATCATGTACCAAATGCGACAGAAATAGATTGAAAAGGCATTACTGGTTCAATTCATTTATCCATCGAAAGTATGTGTGTAGTCGACATCAAGTAAAAAACTCAATTTTCATGAGTGAGAGCACAAAAATATCTCGAAACGAAACATTCTTTAAATCATTGCTCTCCCATGGTAGTGTCATTGTGTAACTACCTTATATATTAACTCCACTTTATTTTGCCTCACCTTTCCCAATTTGCCTCACCTTTCCCAAGTTTTAGGTCCTGTATACGCCCCTGATTTAAAGTTTAAAATACTTTGCACCACCTTTTGATAAAATAGATTCATCCATTTGAAGGAAAGCTGGGACCTGGTTTTCTTCAACTATCAACCACGTGACAAATTTTGAAAAAGGAACGGGTATTGAAATGTGATAAAGTTAAAAACCACAAATTCCATGTTATTTTCCATTGGGAAAACTCATTACAATTCTACTTATGAAAAAGTTTTAGACCACTTGTTGAATAATATTTTCATGCAGTTCAAATAAAAAAGAAGAACCTCTGTTGAGTAATTAATAATTTCAAAAAAATGTTGAGATGGGTTCCCCTTTCATAGTTTTTTAGATTGTTTGAATGATATTTTTATAATCTTTGAGAATTGAATTTTCTTGAAAGATAACATATTGTGTTTTTGAGAAATGTCATATTTATATTGAGAAAGTAGTCATGGTAAAATATATGACGATCAGATATCACTTGCCATACTATACCTGGTCCTTTGCCAATTTGAAGTGAATTGTAAAATCATAGAAGAGAGGATATCCAAATATGAGGTCATTAGTTTAATGACTGCAATCAGTAATCAACAGTCACGTTGACTAAGTTTTTCACGAGAGTTACTTTCTCTTGTAGTTCTGAATTGGATCTGTAAGCGAATGTGTTTCCCAAAATCTAAATTTAAAGCAAAGGAGCAGGGAAAGTATCGCAACAGACTTTTGATAATTTTGACAGTTGATAATTTTTTGTGAGTAGTTTCTGGCTGTAAAAAGTAAATGCTTGGGAGAGGCGAATCTATAATCTTCAAGAAAAGTTCAAAGAATAGTTTCCAGATCAATTGGATTATCTTATAATCCATGTTTAATCCACCCATCAACAAGCATTTTCAAAATACATTCGTCATTTTCACCATCGTCCCTCATTTTTTTACAATTTTTCATGCAAAGTTACATTGTACTTGAACACATGTTTCATCAAGTACAATATGTAAGGAACTCCATGAAGTTTTTTTTGAGTTTTTTTTGAAAAAATGAACCTCTTTAAATGCATGTTTACAAAAATAATTTAGGAGTGATGTAAAAGATGGCAATGTTTTTCAATAATAACATGCATAGGTGGGTGAATTACTCATGTGTGTTGTGTTTTAATCCTGCATTCACTGACTGAGTTAGCCTATTGAAAAATCATAGAGATTAATAATACAAACAGTAATACTATGAATACTTCTACTTCAAGCTCAAATAGCGCTTTCAGGGTCCTGTGTTGAAATACTAGATCACCTTATGTGCATGAATTTTCAAGAGAAACCATCAGTGCAAGCAATTTAATGAAAGCATCATCCGAACATCACTTGAAAAGTACTAAAGTGGTGAAAAATTGCAGGATGTTGACAGAAAATGTGCCTAGGGGAGAGGGTCGTCTCTCAACCCCCCTCCTCCTCCCTGGTGACGGGACTAATACATGTGATATGGCAAAGTCCAATTCATAGATTAAGTTT